TCACCATGGCCCACTGGATGGCTGGTCTCCCCTCTCCCCATCCTCCTTGGGTCCCCTCTGTCCGTCTGCCTTTCCACACTCAGAGGGGGCTCTTGGAAAGTAGGGTGGGTGGGTTGCCCTTGGCCAGCGTTAGGGGTGGGATGGGGAGTTCGGCAGGCCTGGTGCCTCTCCCTTCTCCTTACCGTCTGCTCCACCCCACCGTAGGGCCTCCAGCCGCGTCCCAGCTGCATCCCAGAGCTCAGGCTGCTACGACAGTGACAGTCTGGAGTTGCCCCGGCCAGAAGAAGGGGCCCCGGAGGACAGTAACCCTGGGGGCGTGGGCACACGGGCCCCGGCTGCCAACGGTGGCTCAGAGCGGGCTCAGGCCCCTCGAAGCTCAGGCCTGCGGCGCCAGGCCATTCAGAACTGGCAGCGCAGACCCCGCCGGCACAGCACGGAGGGCGAGGAGGGTGACATTTCGGACGTGGGCTCCCGAACCACCGAGTCCGAGGCTGAGGGCCCCTCGGACGTCCCCCGCCCTGGGCCTGCTATGGCTGGGCCAGTAAGCAGCTGCCGGCTCTCAGGTGAGTCCTAGGGGGGTGGGCAGAGAGGCCAGGCTTTCCCCTGGTGCAGGCCCTCTCAGAAGACACAGGGCTGAGGCAGCACATCTCCTGGGCGCCTGCACCTCTTTTTCCCCAGCCCAGACTTCCCACAGTGAGAACGACACTCCCACCCAGCGCCCTGCCAGCCCGGGCAGGAACTCCTGCAGCAGGGCGTGCTGCAGCACAGGGCACTCTGGTTGGGTTGTGCACAAGGATGCCACACCAAAAGGGCTCCATTTATGTGGTGGGTTCACTGACATTTACAGGAGAGTAGCTAGGTGTTGGCTCCGGACTCTGTGGCCCCTGAAGCAGTTGGAGGAGGGGTGCCTTCCCTTATAGAAATAAGGCCATGCACATACGCGGACAGGTCAGGGCCAGGAGGTGAGAGGGCTCTGGTCAGGGTGTGGGCTGCCCCTGTGACTGCTTTGGGCAGCCTCTCACCTGCCTCTGTTCCCAGAGGCCCCATTTCTGTCCATCCATACCCTAACCCTCCAAACCCTTTCCTTCTCCAAACGTGATTCAGTTGCCTCATCTAGGGGGTGAGTTCAGACTATGCGATGACATATTATCTTAAAAATAATTTACTTGAGGAAAGACTACCTTTTCTAATTTGCAAAATTAGGGGCGGGGTGACGCAGAAGAGAGGAATGCAGAGGCCCTTGTCTTTCTCCCAAGGCACTGGTCCCCCAGCATGGGTCCCCCATGCCCAGGCCTCCTGCAGCTCCTACCTTACATCGCCCTGCTGGCCTTTGACCCTCCACACTCACCTTTGACCCTTGGGTATTGTCCACACTCACCTTTGACCCTTTGGTATTGTGCAGCCCGCTCTGAGGGAGGCAGTGGGCGGGGTCGGCGAGCAGAGAGGGGCAGCCCCTCACGTTCCAATGAGGTCATCAGCCCAGAGATCCTCAAGATGCGAGCCGCCCTGTTCTGCATCTTCACCTACTTGGACACCCGCACCCTCCTGCATGCCGCCGAGGTCTGCCGCGACTGGCGCTTTGTGGCCCGCCACCCTGCTGTCTGGACGCGAGTGCTGCTCGAGAATGCCCGAGTCTGTTCCAAGGTACCTGTTTCTGCCCACTCTCCCTGCCCTCCCACTCATCCCTGCTGTGAACTCACACACGCGCACGCGCACACACACGCACACATCCATCCCCTCGCTTTCCAGCATCTGGTCCCTCCAGGTTTGGTCCTTGCAGTCCTTACAAGACCCCCCAACTCTTGCCTGGTTTCCTAAAATGCTCTCATGGAGCTCCTATCCTGGAGCTGGTCCACCTCCAGCCAACCAAGTTCAGACCCCTCACCCCCGGTCACCCCTCTCTCCCTGCAGTTCTTGGCAATGCTGGCTCAGTGGTGCACCCAGGCCCACTCGCTGACACTGCAGAACCTGAAGCCTCGGCAGCGGGGCAAGAAGGAAAGCAAGGAGGAGTATGCCCGGAGCACCCGGTGAGGCCGTGGTGGGTGGGTGTGTGGGTGGGTGGGAGGGTGCTCCTGGGCCATAGACCTAGGATTCTGTGGGGATGCTTCTCAGAGCAGGAGGGGGCCACAAGCCTCTCCCTGACCTCTTGGCCATCCCCAGGGGCTGTCTGGAAGCAGGGCTGGAGTCCCTGCTGAAGGCGGCGGGGGGCAACCTGCTGATCCTGCGCATCTCCCACTGTCCCAACATCCTCACTGACCGCTCGCTCTGGCTGGCCAGCTGCTACTGCCGCGCTCTGCAGGCCGTCACCTACAGGTGGGTCCATCCCACCAGAAGCATCCCCAAGAGGGGTCCCTGGGCTCTGCTCTGCATACCCTTCTCCCAGGGCTTTCAGGCAGAGACCCAAGAACTCTGTGGTCCCAGGGAAGGGAGCAGAGGCCACCAGGGAGAGTGGGTGGCCCCAGCTTTGTCTCTTCTCAACAGGAGCGCCACAGATCCTGTTGGCCATGAGGTCATTTGGGCCCTGGGCGCAGGCTGCAGAGAGATAGTCTCCCTCCAGGTGGCGCCACTTCACCCCTGGTGAGCCCTGGCTGGGTGAGGAGGGGACAGAGTTGGGTGGGGTCTGCGGCTAAGGACTGAGCAGATCTAGGCCCACTCGATCGTCTGGTTGGGGAGACCAGATTCGCATTCATCAATCTGTGTGTTTAGGTGTTAGGAGCAAGGCTTAACATCATGTCCTGGTTACTAGAGTATGACTTTGGGCAACCCAATTGTGCTTCAGTTTCTCAACCTGCAAAGTAAAGGTGATATTAGGGATCTGTTGACCTTATTAGGACTGTTGCTGGCTCAAATGAGATGTGTCCATGAAGCCCACAGGGCCCACAGTGAGTGAGGCGTGAACACTAGGGAGGTTGGTTTGGCACGTGAAAGGCAGTTCAGGGTGGTCAGTGTATTAAATGTACAAAAGAGCTGGTGGTTGGTGAGTCCAGGCTGTGGTGTCACTCATGGCTTTCCTTGGAGCTCCTCGAACATGTCAGGCTTTTCTGCTCCCTGCACCTTGACCTCCAAGCCCTCTCTTCACGTGACAACTCCTCCCAAGCCCTCCAGCGTCCCTGGGAGAATGTGTCACTGCTCTCCTACCTTCATTCCTACTGCACCTTGTCCCTACCCTGCTATGGCCCACTTTGCAACAGTTTCTCTATATTTCAGTCTCCACGAGACTCATGGTTCTCAGAGCAGAGGCTGAAATGTCCGTTCCACATCTGTGGTACCAAGAGTGTGACAGATGTCTGTGGCCTGGGCGAGTGTTGAGGGATGCATTGTTCAGGGAAACAGCCAGTTTGGTGTGAGTGGTAGGCAGAGCCCAGCAGTGAGTGTGTAAAGGCAGGTCGGGGAAAGGTCAGGAAGGCCTTGCCTAAGGGGCTTAGTTTTTGCATTTTTTATCTAGAAAGTGCTGGGAAGCAATTGGGGATTTTAGATCTTAAAAAATGGGGTTTGCCGAAACCGGTTTGGCTCAGCGGATAGAGCATCGGCCTGCGGACTTGAGGGATGCTTGTTCAGGGAAACAGCCAGTTTGGTGTGAGTGGTAGGCAGAGCCCAGCAGTGAGTGTGTAAAGGCAGGTCGGGGAAAGGTCAGGAAGGCCTTGCCTAAGGGGCTTAGTTTTTGCATTTTTAAAAAAATATATATTTTATTGCTTTTTTACAGAAAAGGTCAGGAGGGCCTTGCCTAAGGGGCTTAGTTTTTGCATTTTTTATCTAGAAAGTGCTGGGAAGCGATTGGGGATTTTAGATCTTAAAAAATGGGGTTACATCAGACAAGTAACATTCTTTGTGCCCCTCTTCACCCCACTGTCTGCTCCTTCAGGGCAGGGACCATGTCTGTACTGTCACCACTACATCCCCAGGGCCTAGCTCAGTTGTTCTTGGCTTAGTAGATACTTACAACCATTTGTTGAATGACTGAGTGAGGGAATGTAGGAATGACTGGCTTACCTTTAGCAGCAGGTCGTCTAGTCATAATCCAGATGAACACTGATCATGGTCTGAACTGTAGGTTGAAGACTTATTCAGGAATCGGAATCCATGGGCCTTGGCAGGAGATGAGGGAGGGGAAGTCAGGGATGATCCCAGGTTTCTGACTTGAGCAGCTGGGGTGATTGGTGGGGCCCTTGCCCAAGGGTGAGCCTGAAGGTGATCCCAAAGGAGGATGAGACTTGGGGTGTCATATAACCAGCGGCTTTCCTGACAGCCCTTCCTTCCCTCCATTCTCCAGCCAGCAGCCCTTGCGCTTCAGTAATCGTTGCCTGCAGATGATCGGTCGCTGTTGGCCCCACCTCAGGGCCCTGGGGGTTGGGGGTGCCGGCTGTGGGGTGCAGGGCCTGGCATCACTCGGTAAGTTTTTCCTTGGGGCTAGGGTGGGGGTTAGTGGGATGCAGGCATGGACGCGATACTGAAATCTCAGAGGAGCTCTGGGCTGCAGCCTGGGTGATAGCAGGAGCATCAGGTGGGCGGGAGGTAACCTGGAGAGTTCGGTCAGCAGCACCTCCCCTCTTCCTCTTCCTAGCAAGAAACTGCATGAGGCTGCAGGTCCTGGAGCTGGACCACGTGTCAGAGATCACCCAGGAGGTGGCGGCTGAGGTCTGCCGGGAAGGCCTGAAAGGGCTGGAGATGCTGGTGCTCACGGCCACCCCCGTCACCCCCAAAGCCCTGCTGCATTTCAACAGTGAGTGATGGGGCATGCGGGGTGGGGTACAAGTGTCACCTCTTACCATGCCTTGCCAGCAGGTAGCATAACCAGCTCCCTGTCACTCGTGGTCAGCAAGCACAGTGCTGGGGTTAGACTGACCAGGGCTCTAGCCCTGGCTTTGCCACCAATGCTTTCTGAGGCCGGTGTGGCATTCAAGGCCTTCTAACATGTGGCCCAAGTAGTTTAGTTCAGCTACATCTATTGCCCTGTGCTCTACCCATGTTGGGAGACAGGAGCTATGCAGCAGCATTGGCCCCTATGTGAGCCTCCAAGCCAAGGGCAGAGGCAGGAGAGCAGGCAGGTTAAGAGCATAGGTTCTGGGGCTTGACTGACCTGGGTCTCAATTCTGACTCTACTGCTTATTAGCTGTGTGGCTTCCGGCAGGTTACTATACATCTGGGTTCTGTACCCCATTTTCTAAGCTGAATTTCTAGAATGAATGAGAGGATTAAATGAGATGATGTGTGTGAACCTCCAAGGACAGTTCAGAGGGAAGACTCCTTTCCCTGGTATAGATTGCAAGTCATGCCTCCTCTGGCCCCACTCCCTCCAGCTATCCACTCCGTCTCCGGTCATTCCTCCACCTTTTAGAGGACATGGGTGCCCAGCTTGGGCTGCCCACACCCAAAAGTGAGACCATCATCCAAGACCATTTGACCCTCGGCAAGACCTCAGGTCCTGAGCACCAAAGGTTCTTTGACCTTATTATTCCCAGGATCCTCTTCTTCCCTCCCCTTCAGCTTCATGGCCTTGCCTTGGACTGACCACCAGAACTAACGGCTCAGCCTTCAAAATCATGACCTTCAGGACCCTCTCAGCCTCCTGACCTTCCTGCTCCTCCTCTCCTGACTTCATGGCAACATTCGGTCCCTTAAGCTCCCAACTTGTTTGCTCCCTGTCTCCCCTCCTCTGTGCTCCAGCCGAGACCCATCAGCCTCACTTCCGCTACTCTGTCTTTATAATTCACTTCCAAATGCCCAGGCCACAGCACAACTGTCCCTTCTGCCAGGGAAGTTCCCAGAGCTCCTGCACAGCTGTTGCCCACTCATCCTCCCAGAGTCCACCGCAGCCTCTGCTCTGATGTCACCTTCCACCTGCTCCCATTGTCTGGTTGAGCCCCGGGGCAGTGTGGGTCTGCTCTCCTGGTTATGATCTCAGTGCCTGGCATTTGATTGCCTCTCAGTAGGTTCTGATTTCATTAGTGATGGGAGAGGAGGCAGCCCGGCCAAACTCGGGCTCCTATCTTACCCACCTTTTCCCAGGCATTTGCCGGAACCTCAAGTCCATTGTGGTCCAGATTGGGATTGCTGATTATTTCAAAGAGCCCAGCAGTCCCGAGGCCCAGAAGCTGTTTGAAGACATGGTGACAAAACTCCAGGTGAGGAATTGGCTCTGAGGCCACCCAAGACCCCATGACCCTAGGCTGGGGCTGGGGATTTGGGTCTGTGATGTGAAGAAAGCCCCACCTGTGTGACCCTGAGGATTTGGCCCTGAGGAGAACTAACCCAGGTTTGCTCTGCAGGCCCTGCGACGGAGGCCCGGCTTCTCTAAGATCCTGCACATCAAGGTGGAAGGCGGCTGCTAACCCGGGTGAGGGGCGGCAGGGCCCCTGCCAGCCCCACCCAGGGCACTCTCTTTGGACTTCCAGAGGGACCCTGATTTGGACTAGACCTTCAGAGGCCTGGTGTCATCTCTGGCTTCCAGGAAGGGGTTGACGGTTTCCTGTCCTCTCCTGGGATAGCAGAACAACAGGCCTGACCCTGGGAACTGTCTCTTCAGGGCAGGGGCTCGGACAGAAGCTGCCCCCTGCCCCTACCCAATCCCCAGCTGGAGCAGCTTTCTGGGCACAGCCAGCGAGGAGCTGTCACCACCAGCACCTGGTGTCTTCCCCCTGAGGGTCTGCAATAACCACCCAGTGGCCCTTGGCTGCTCTGGCAGGCCTCCATTCTTGAGGCCCAGCCTCCCGTCAGGTCCTCTGCTAGGCCCCAGGCAGGTCAGACTTGGTAAGGAGGGCTCTTCTCCTGGCCCTGCTCCGTCCCCGCCCTCTGTGGGGCACCCTTCAGACAGCCCACCGGGGACTGGGTCCACATTCTCTGAGGATAACACACGGGCCGAGGAGTCTGGGCAAGTGTCAGCCGGAGGTGAGGTAGCAGGAGTGGGCTTGGAAGGGCAAAACATTCACCCATATTCTCTCCCCAGGACATTGAAACCATCTCTCCCAAAGGAGGAAATTGCCAGGAAGAGAAAAAAGTTTCTATTGATATAGGCAAGACCTCCCTCCCCCAATAACCACATTTCCCATACACACAAGAGCTAAATTCTGAGCTAAAAGGTGCATGTTTCCATACCTGTCAGCAATCCTAACCCAGTCACCTGTGAGAAGCAGTTCCCGTCCTCAAGGAATGGCCTTCTTTTTTTTTTTTTTTTAAATATATTTTATTGATTTCAGAGAGGGAGAAGGAGAGAGAGAAACATCAATGATGGAGAACCATTGAATGGCTGCCTCCTGCACGCCCCCTACTGGGAGGTTGAGCCTGCAACCCAGGCATGTGCCCTTGACCGGAATCAAACCCTGAACCCTTCAGTCTGCAGTCCGATGCTCTATCCACGGCACCAAACCGGCTAGAGCAGGAATGGCCTTCTAATGCAGGTGCTTGGGCAGGACTCTGATGGCCTTTGGATCCCCAAGGCTGTGTGGGAGGAAGTCAGTCACTGGCTGACCTCTGTATGGGGGCCTGGGGGAGGCTGGGAGGAGGCTGGTTTGGTTTGCTTCCTTGTCTGGCTAGCTTGCTTAAAGATGTAGCCCTTTAAGGAAGCTAGGCCCATCGAGCTAAGAATGAACTGGTCCCATGGGCTAAGGGCTCGGTTGGGAGTTTTCTGCCTGGGGGTAGTTCTGAGGCCCAAGCCAGAGCCACTTGGCTTAGAAGCCACAGAATGGATGCAAGTGGGGGTTTCACTCACGGTCCCCACAGGACCAGGTCCCAGCACTAAGACTCAGGTCTCCCAGTTCCTCCTCAGAGCTCCCACAGTGGCTGAGGTGGGTCCTGCCAACCTTCATTTGGAAAGTTCTTTCATTCACCTAGATTCATCTTAAGGTTTCCTTCTCTCCTGCACAGGACTGGCTTTCAGCCCTAATCACTAGGCAGCTGGTGGGCTGGGGCAGGGTTCCTCCAATTTCTCAGTTCTTTCCAGGGACCCAACTTTCTGCTATAACCTAGCTTGAACATCAAGGGCCAGCCCTGGGTTACCCTGCAGTGAGGCCTCCAGAGCTGGGCCCCACAGACTCAGCGGTGCACCCCGCTTCCCTGGCTCCACACCCAGTTCTCCGGGCTCTTCCCATTGTTGATGACTTTTCCTCCCATGGCTTGTTCTGGCCCTGCCCTTTGAAGACCCCAAATACCAAGGGTGTCATGTTGGCAGCTCCCTGTCCTGTCCTGCACGAAGCCTTGGCGGTGTGGTATCTCCATTCCAGAGCAGCTGGCTTTATTGATTCCTCCTCAGCCCTGTCCCCAGGAATCATGGGAAGAAGCACAACTCTGCTGGCCTAGAGGGAGGCGGAGGTCTACTTAGACCTGCTGTCCTAGGTGCATCAGTCCTGCCTTCCAACTGCACCCTCCAAAGCCCTGCTCCACATGACCCCAGGATCAGAGGTGCTGCCCTCCCTGTCTCCTGGACAAAGCACAAAGGGGTGCCCTGCTTGGCCAGAGCCTGCCCTACCGGGACCTTTTCTGCCCCAGGAAGCCTCTGCCCCTGAATACAGGCTCTGGGCAGTTTCTCCCTGGGTGGGTGCCCACCGGGATGCCCGGCATCAGCCCTGGGAAAGGAAGTCTGCCCGGGCAGTGAGCTGAAGTGGGAGAAAGGACTGATGTCAGTAGTAGGTTTATTCACTCATTTGTTCATTTGTGTGACAGCCCTGCACACCACCAGCACTGCAGGCAGCAGAGTGAACAAGACTCCCTCTCCTGCTGGGGGGAAGTTTGCCTCTCACGGGTTTGGCTGTTTCCAGAAAACCCCCCAAGTCCAGCCACGCAAAGGATGTATGGGAGTATATATTGTACATGCCCAGGCCCCTGTCAACAGGAACATGGGTTATAGTATGTCCCATTGCACACCTGCCCCCAGGGCCAATAGACGTACGTGGCTGAGAACTGGCAGGTTTGCAGGCCTCTACCCACACCAGCTCGATGCTATTTTTTGCTTCTCTTCAGGGGGGTGAGCCCTGCTGCTAAGCGGGGAGCTTTTGTTGGTGGGAATGCTCCATTTGTTCTTTGGCAACCCTATAGCTAGGGCTGATGACGGGGAATGGATGGAGGGCCCAGCCATCCTTCACTCGCCCCTATCTCACACCTGACAAGATGCAAAGAGGAGGTTCAAAGAGCAAACCAAGGCAGGGCCTGCTCCAGGGGCCCAGGCATGTATAGGGGGCCCATAGGTGGGGCCACCTTCCTGCCATACAGCCTGAACCCAGCACCTGGGGACTCCGAGTACTTGGATTGAGTGTTTGGTCATGCTTTATTTGGGCTGCCACCTCTGCACTGGCAGGGAACAAAGGAGATGCTGTAGATGTCTGCATCCCAGAGTGGGAGGAGCAGGCTGCCCAGAACCATGGCTTTAACTGCCAGGAGAGACCATTGAAGGATCAAGGCAGTTCAGGTATTCCTAGTCCAGTGTATGGAGTTTGAGCCAGCCCCTCAGGAATTGTCTAAAAAAAAGAAAAGCCGCCTCCTTCCTAAGGTCTGCGGCTCCAAGGTTTGGCTCCGTCCTTTGTCTTTGGGTCCTGCCTCTAGTCCTTTGGGCCGTAAGTGGGAGCTGCCCACATCCTAGTCCTTCTAAGGCGCTAAATGGAAGACCTTAACAGAGTGACTATCGGTGCCAAAGACCCAGTTCCTGCTGGACTTGGGGTGATAACAGGAGATATGGTGAGTGGGTGCAGGGCCCTTGTGCTCAGAGGACTCAAACTGATGGGATCTGTCCTAGCATGTCACCCCTGGTGAGTGTTACTTCTCTCCCCAAGGGGCCTGGCACATGTCTCTAGCCCTGCTGGCCATGCTTGCTCACCCAGCCTTGTCCCAGGCCTGCATTTCTGTATATATTGCTGTGTATCGTGTATATGTATTTATTCCTGGACAAGTGTGGTGTTCTGCAGCCCTTGCCTGAGAATAAGGTGTAGGATTGGGTGGAGATCAGAAATCAGAATACCAGGGCCAACTAAGGCAGCCAGCTCCTATTCCCTCCCCAACCCCTGGGAACCGGGCCAGTCCCAAGACCGCCCTGACAATCAGGCAGGCTTCCCCACATGAGGCCCAGCCTCACCTGCCACCACTGGCATGGCCCCAGGGAGGCTTGGCCTTGGCCTTCCAGCCTCAGCTCTGCCCTGGCAGGGGTCTTGCACTCAACTCAGAGGCCTGAGGTGACCCAGGCTTGCCTCCTGGCTGGCATGAGTAGGCTTGGCTCTAGTGGGCACTGCTGGTGGAGACCTCCACAACTGACCCACGCCCTGCCTTCCCTGCACAGCCAGGCTGCAATGGGCCTGAGCCGTGAGAGGGTGGCTTCCCCCACCCCAAGCACATCAGGCAGAGGAGTGGAGAGCATTTTTCGATTTTGTTTCTTAAGTGGTGCCTGTACCTCCAGTCCCCAGGGGCCTTCAGTGGCCCCACTTCTCTGCCACACCAGGCATCACCATCCCAGCACTTTGCTCCATGTCACCCATAGATGCCCTTTGCTGAATGTACCTGAGTGTATGTATTTAAGAGGACTCACACAGGCATCAGAAAATTTATGGCTTTGTATCCAATAAAAGATGGTGAAACTGGAATATCTGCCTCAGGGCAATAAATGGTAGGTGGCCATATTTGTCGGTCTGTGTCACCAAGCCTTTCTGCAGCTGAAGTGCACTGAAGCAGGAAAGAGGTGGGTGACCAGAACGGCATCAACGGGGTGAATGAAGCATCAGAAGACCTGTCTCGGGACTGCAGACGTCATTGGAGCAGGCCACGCAGGTGACTGCCCCTGCCACAGCTCCCTCCCTCTCGGTGTCTGTATGTGGACAGCAAGCCCTGGGGCCATTTCTGCCTCAGCCAAGAGAGACCACCTTTAAGGACGACTCCAGCACAAGCACAGCAGGAGCAGCAGGCACTGCCCAGTCCCTCACTGGCCTGGCCACATCCTCAGGAGGCTCTGATCAGCCAGTCAGGCTTCAGCCCGAGGGAGACACCAAATTGCCCAACATGGTCTGGCTTCAACTTCCCTATTTTACCCAATGGGGTCGCCCCACCGATTTGATTACTCAGGTATGAAATATTAAAAATCAGAAAAACCAACAGGTGTTTATACTTTAAACTGTGTGGCTCTAGCATCAAATAAGTAGATGAGCACTTATCCCCCTGTTCCTATCTTCATTATACATTTAGAGCAGCTGAGACTCAGAAAAATTAGTTTACACTAAGACTATCAAGTTAGGATGTGGGATTCCAAAGTCTGGATCTGCCCATACCCCATTTCACCTTTGAGTCCATCTAATTGGGAGTGGTTGGGCTCAGGAATTAAAAAAAAACAAAAAACAAATAAAAATCATACCTGGCTGGTGTGTCTCTGTGGTTGAACGTCAACCCATGAACCAGGAGGTTAGAGTTCGATTCCCAGTCAGGGCACATGCCTGGGTTGCAATGTGGGGATTCCAAAGTCTAGATCTGTCCATATCCCATTTCACCTTTGAATCCATCTAACTGGGAGTGGTTGGGCTCAGGAATTAAAAACAAAACAAAAAACAAATAAAAATCATGCCTGGCTGGTGTGTCTCTGTGGCTGAACATCAACTCATGAACCAGGAGGTTAGAATTCGATTCCCAGTCAGGGCACACGCCTGGGTTGCCTGGGTTGCAGGCTTGATGTCCAGTAGGGAGGTACAGGAGGCAGCTGATCAATGAATCTCACTCATCGAGGTTTTTTTCTCTCCTCCCTTCCTCTCTCTGCAATCAATATATATAAATATAGGTATAGGAGGCAGCCGATCAATGAATCTCACTCATCATTGAGGTTTTTTTCTCTCCTCCCTTCCTCTCTCTGAAATTATATATATATATATTTAAAATCATTTCCCAGTACCAAGCAGCAAAAGCTTCAGTGGTTCAATATGACTTCCACAAGGACCAATGACAGCTAGTTGCAGGCCAGACCTCAGGACTAGCACAGACAAGAGACAGTTAGATCCTGCTTTCCATAGATCTGTGCTGGCCAATTTAAACTTGTCCTGTTCAGAAGGGAGCTTAATGAGACCAGGGGGGTGCTCCTTCAGCCACCCCCTCAATGGACTGCTAAGGAGTCACTATAGTTTAAAAAGGATATGGCCTAAGACATTCCTCCAAGGCCCTCAACCTCAGGATCTTTACTGAGGGACCAAAAGATGGAACCAAAAGAAT